GGCGGGCCGCGGCCTCGCAGCAGGGCGATGGTCAGGGGGAGCGCAGTGTTCCCACCTTCTTTCTCCTCTCCCTCGGCTAATTGATGCCTGTCGTTTTGAGCTTCTCAACGGATGTTGCTACAGGCTTAAATTTTGTGGGGCATCTTAAAGCAAAGAGAGTTGAGCAGCCTGTGGATAAGATCAAGGAGCATGATCCACGTGCTGGAAGTGATGTGGAAAATGACTGTGTGAGCAATATGCAAGTCAATGCCTGCTGTTGGTAATGATTTTTGAACTTTTTGGGGGGTGAGGTCTCACTCTACAGCATTAGCATTACTGTAGAGTTGTTACTTGCACTTTAGTCTGTGCTCTGCTGAGCTGTCTTCTTGAAGTTGCTGTGGTGAGTAACTATGTGCCCTCTGCCCCTTTGTGTCCCTGCGCCATAGGTACTAAAGATGGGCCGTCGAGCTCGCCAGGATTTCTTTCCGGATGAAAGCCTCAGCCGGAAGAATTCCTCTTCCGCCTCTGCTGGAGAGGTGGGTGTCATTTCAGGGTAACTCGTTTGCAGGGTAAGGTATCATTTTACTCCGATGTTGTCCCCAGTGGAAGAATCTTCTTTTTTTTTCTGAGATTTTTTTTTTTCCCTCTAAGCTGTGCTCTATCCTTTGAAGCTTGTCCTTAGCGTTGGGGCTCGTGTGACAACCCTTTTCCTTTCCTGGTGTTGCATTCTGCATGATGTGTAGTTTTCACACAGAGTCATAGCTGCAACTACAGTACCTCATGTGAAAAGTATGGAGGGTAGTATCAAATAGGACTTGATAACAGGGGGCCCTCCATCTCACCCATTCTTATCTTCCATGGGAATTAGTGTGACCAGGCACAGTGTTTCATTACCATTTTTGCTACCATCCACAGTAGAAAGACAGAGTACAGGTGAGCAGTGGGGTGGCATGTTTTTGTTTTTTGTTTGCTTGGTGTTTTTTTTTTGTTCTCTTCACTGTGTTCTTGCTAGAGCTGGAGTACAGTTTTTGATGGTCAATATCAAGTTTGTATTGCAACATTCTTTTTCCTTGGATGCTTTTCAGTTTCTCCTCTGGACAGGCTACAAGGGTCATGCTAGCAGCCAACTTTACTCAGGAGACAAGGTATCACGTGCTGTAATAACCTGCGAGCCTAATTCCAGCTCAGCTTTGGAGAAGGACTGTTCCATCAGTATTTTTTCTGAGAGCAGGAGAAGACTGTCTGGAACTCTTCTTTCACAGGAGAGTGAAGCAACATCCTCAAATACCCAGAAAGATGAGATTTGAACCCTTTCAACTCTACTTGAAGGTTTGCTTTCTGATGTTTAGCATGATTTCTACACAGGTATGTCCTGCTGTTTTTATTAAGAAATGATATAGAGATTATGCTCCCTGACACCTTCAAACAGATGAAAGGCTCATCAGACTTTCAGCTTACTGACAGTGGTATTTGTCTAAACGAAATAATACTTAGCTTCTTGCAAAGTCAATAGTGTTCTCTGCTCTACCATGTTCTTGATTCCTTTAAATTGCAAAACCACTTTGACCTTCTGACCGCTCTGGCACCAAGTACACTTCAAACTTCTGTGCTTAGAGCCCTGGGACCTTCTCTCTTGGCAGTGGCTACTTTTCTAACATTCTCTACCATGGCTTACCTCTCAAATGACACTTATTAACTGCGTCCCAGTTGTCTGTGGTGAAATGGTTTTGTGGGGGATGTTTCTTTGGAGTCCCTGCTATGCGGCTGAGGATGCGTTCTTACAGCCTCACGTATAATATAATGAGATCTCATAGAACAGGCCTTTTCCAGGAGAAAGTATGTTCTCTTCTCTTTTGCTGGGCATAACAGAGAATCATCTCCTACCTGTGCATTCTCCTTTCCCTGGCTATGTTTGGGAGAAATTCTAGGAAGGCATTTGTGGAAGAGGTGAAAGGCCCATGCTCAGAGGTAATATAAACTCTGTAAAGCCCATCCTCCTTGATGTACCACTACTTGTCTGCCACCTTAGCAAAAATTGAGTGCTCTATATCATCCATTACCCATGGTTTCTAGGGTTAAATCACTTCCTACAGACAAATCAAGCTCCCTTTGGCACAGTTATGGATACTGGAGAATGAGGAAGAACATCCATGGTAAGAGGAAGAGCTGATACTTGCCAGGACTTTTCTCATCTGGGTGAAGATGGGCATCCGTCTGTGTCTGTTTCACCTGACTAGTTGAAATTATTCTAAGATCTTAGCTCCTGCTTAGTAAGAAGTTGAATATACCCTTTGAAGAAGTTCAAGAGATCTGAGGTGACCCCCTCAGCAGGCTCTGTGCTTCATCAGTGGGCCCCATGGACCGCCTGCTAAGCAAGAGACTCATGGACCTTAACAGCAGATGATTTGGCCTGTGCCTGCTTCCATCTGTCCCAGCAGCACTGGAAAGACATGACAGGAGATAACAAGTCTGTGCAAGGCAAAACGAATCTCCTTATTTGCAACCAATAGTAGTGTCTTTTTGTAATTTGAAAAATCAAAATAGCAGTGGGCCCTGCAGGTTAAGAAACACTTGAAGAAAGCAGCTGGTAGTGCAATTGGGTGTAATCGTTGGTCAGCCTACAGATTAGGGTGGCTTGCTGTCAGGCTGTTCTCTAACTGGAACTGGCTATCCCAGTTTACGGACTGATTCCCTGGCAGGAAGAGGTTAAGCCTGGATGTAGGGGGGCAGCTGACTGCCTGTAACTTATTACAGGTTGTTCTTGGTGTGCCTTGTGTCATAGCCATTTTAATGACTGTGAAGAGATCATAATGGCACCAGTTGTTGGGCATCATCAGAGAGGTCTAAGAAATAGTTAGGATCTTCTATTTGTAGGCAATGAGCTTTTCAGCAGCCGAAGGGTGAGCCTTCTATGCCTTCAAAGATTCAGGTATGTTATTTCTGGATCTTAACCACCAGGAAGAAATGTTTGTGTCAATAGTCTCCCTTCCTTATTGCTAAATGTCGCTTTTAACTGAAAACCGTGGAGCTACTGGAAAACAGACAAAATCCAGTATAAATAATCTTAAGCCTTTTTTTCTGTTCTGCAATTGGAGGCCTCTCATACATAACCAGGTTTGATACCAAAATGAGCACTTGGTAGAACTAATGTTATGTTTCTCTTCACCCTGGATGGCAAATACCTTATATTTTTCTGGAAGCTTGGCTTTGACTTTCCTCCAGATGGTGGGGTCAGCTGTTAGAATGGGTGTCTCGTTCAGTCAACTGGTCATCTTGAAACCTTTTCAAGGAACCTTCCCCAAAAAAGTACAAAATAGAAGCTGTTCTTTTCTGGAACTGGCAGTAGTGGAGGAGGCATGTTGTGATTGATTTAGGCATGAGAGATTTTCTTCAAAATCAAGGAAGGGGCGGGGGAAAGGGGGGAGAGCTGACCTAAACCTTTGTTATCTTCACACCTTCAGGGTGGTGATTCTGGCCTCAGTATTTCAAAACTGTTTTAAGATTCATCTCCCCTTCCCTTCTCTCCCCCCAGCTTCTTTTTTTTTTTCCTCCCTTCTCCATATTCATCCATCCAGCTGAAACTTTTGGCTCTGTGAACCATTCAGGAAGTGATTTCCAGTCACAGCAGCTTGCTTGAAGGAAGCAAAAAGTACCTGTTTATCCATGTTTCAACATTTGGGTGGGTTACAAGGAAATTCACTTCAAGGAATGAACAACTCATTTAACATAATTACAAAGATCTTTGTTCTCAACTCAGGCAAATCTTCTGACTTGGAGCGTAGATCTTATCGGATCACTGCTGAGCTCTCCTTGACCTGGACTCTGTCTTCCTAAGCGGACTGCGTACAATAGTACATCTCATCAGCTGTCTATCTTGTCTCCCAAGCATATTGTGAAAATCCGTTCCCTAGGATGCAATTGCAATAGTAGGCTGTAAGGCACAACATATACTTCCTCCAAACTCTGTAAAGAGAATATGGTATCTTAGTATCTTTTCAGTGCGTATTTTGTGTATATGTTGTTCCCTCCCTCAAAATAAGTTACTTGAAGTGGAATGGTGCCTTCTGCGTAATTCCTCTGCCCAAATCTCTAATAGATAAATCTAATTCCTATGTGGTGGTGTCTACATTATCTTCAACTTTAGACTTCTGTCTCCTCAAGGAGCCCACCAAGTGTCACAAGGCCCACAGTCAGCCATCTGACATGCAGAGCATTCCTGTCTTTTCAGTGTACAAATACTGAAAAACACTGCAGCCATGTATTATTTCATGAGGCAAGAAGGAACACGATTATCTGCTGTAACTGGTGCAGTCAGCATCCTCCTGCAACAATGGCTGTGCGTGTTCCTGGCTTCAGAGCTCCTTGGCAAATCAACAGGCACTTCTTGGGCACCCAGGGGAATATGCCGTAAATGGGAATTCCTAGAGATAAGTCTGCTTGCTGCATGCCAGAACTCCACATTTCAAGCATTCATTTTCAGAGGGGTAATGCATCCGTTTTCCCTTTGGGAGGCCTTTCCCATCCCCTGGCTTCATATGTTCCTTTTTACTCATTTTGATGCTATTAGGATTCTGACAAAATGGGGACAGACTCAGGCTGGTCATAATATTAGTATAATGGTAGGAGCAGATCATGAGAGTCTGATCTTTGCTTCCCCCATCCTACCAGTACTTCTGAACACTTTTATAGAATAAAAGTCAAACTTTTTTTCCTGGCTCTAGTGTTGCTATATCCAACAGCCTGGGTGCTGGCTTGATGACCTCTACCGAAAGAAGCTGTTCACTCAGGTTTGGAGCTCTTGAGAAGACTGATTTGGAAAGCAGAGTGGAAAAGCCTTTGCTTTTAAATATATCAGCAAATTTTTCCTTTTCTGTCTCTTCTTCTCTCAACAAGATTGAGCTATTTGCTGTTCCACAAGAAATCAGTATGCAAAAATATTTTCATGTTATCCTGCTTCCATGGTCTGTTTCCTCTTCATCCTACAGTGACAGGATTCCTTTGGGACCTCGTTCAAGCTTTCCCTGTTTTTCCTACTCTTACAATCTTAATATGGTGTTGGCTGTGTCCCTCTGGCAACACTTTATAGATTCTGTGAGTGGAAACTGCTTTTAGTAGGGGCAGTATGTCAGCCTGAGGGATGAGGGTTTTCCAGACTGTTGAGAGTATTTCTGTACAAGTAGGAGAGGGTCACTCTGACTTTATCTCAGGGTCTGTCCAGAGTGATTTAAGTCCTCTCCTCGTTTTCTTTGCCAAGTTTCACCAAAGCCTGAAGAAAGGCTCTGTGCACTCATTTCTGAAAGTCTGATCCACTGTTGTTGTCTCACCTGATATTTGTAAACATGCTTAGGTAGCTATAGTCCTTGGGTGATAATTAAAGAGTGAGTGAGTGTTTCTCTGCTGCAAAGATATGTTACATAGGATAGGTTCCTCTAACGAGCCAAGGGCTTGGGTTGTCTCATTGCATATTGGAAAGATGTTTCCACAGGTGAATTTTGCAAAGCAGCTCACTGGACTTCTGCCCCCCCCCGCAGGCTTA